CTGCAAAATTCTGTATTTGAAATTACCAGTTGATACAGAGGCTTCAGAAAACTGTGCAGTGGCGTTACGAATAGTCTAATGTGAATCAATAGATTTGTATTTGTGGCTCAAACACTTGTTAGAAAATGTACATGATTTCTTACTTTTCAGAATAGTTGTAATTTTAAGTGACGGTACAATTGGACATTTCACAGATTTTTTGTCCTAAAGAGGCCAGCTTGCAGGCTTGATGCAGGCTAGAGTATCTATCCAAACACTTCTTCAAGCCTGTATCTTCTGTTTCAGCTGTAATGTGCTTGTGAAAAGATAACCAGTTTGAATTAAGGACTTCAGCTGTTGAAAAGACAGGAAGAAAGTAAATGAGTCTTTTAAATCTAAAATATATATATATTCTACTAAAAAATTGCATAACTTTGCTTTAGATAACCTCCTGTTAGGGAGATAGGGCAGACTTTGTCTCATCTTTGGGAAAAAATGCATCATGGCTTTTATTTTTAAGTTTCCTCATCAGAGTTATATGTGGGACTGAAGGCCTTTCTTAATCAGGAGGTGGATAGAGATGTTTGGGGAAGGAGAGGTTATACATCACACAGACACACTCAGCCTAATGTTGCTGCTCCTCCAGCTGCTTAATCCTTTGAAATGTTGCACTGAAGAGTTTGGTAGGGATTTGACAAGGTTACACTAGAGTGTGAATTAGGGGGTTGATAGTTAAGTGGAAGGGATTCAGTAATTATCCATTTGCAGATATGCTTATTAGCATCTGAGTCATAACGGATGATAGGGAGTAATTGCTTCATTGGGAAGCAGATATATTTTTGGCCATTGTTAAGGCAAAAATAGTTAACTATTTGAGAATGTGTCTGGAATGGCGAAGAGGAAGAGGCAGCCAACTTAGTTGTTAATTCTTCCTTAAGCCACTACTGCTATTTATCCCATAGGGAGTACTGTTACCTAATGAGCTGGAACTGAAAATTGTTTCGGGGGAGGCTCCAGGATAAACAAGGAAAAGAGGACTAGAACCTTAACGTGCATCTCAGGAAGATGCCTATCCTTGACACTGTCTTTAAATTGAGGGTAGTTCTCCCTCAGGTCTCATTTGAAATGGGTTAGATTGTAAGCAACAGGATAGGGACCAGGTTGGCAGGGAGAAAGTTGATATCAGCCCTCTAATTTAATTTCAAACTTCTACTAAAAAATAAATACTAGCTTTTGACTTCTGTGATAACTGGTTGTTGGGATTAGATCTTGAGAGAAAGATGAGAATAAATTTTGAACTGTATAAAATAACTATTCGAGATGTGAAATAATTCTTAGGGAGTAACAGATAATGCAGATTAGATATGACACAGTTTAAATATATGTACAAATACCACTGCAATTTTTGTGAATTGCATGTTCTAATACTGAGTTTCCAGATCATCCTGAACAGTCATACTGAGTCATCTGTTGTGGTTGCAAAAGTGATGTGAGCAAAGTATGTTCTTGAATATGAAATTTTCAAGTGTGCTGACGGTGTTGCAGGAAATGACAGTGTTACCAAGTCTTTAGGTGGTACTTTTCCCTCGTAGTCAGTACTGAACCAATGTCCTAATGTGTTGATAGGGGAATCTGACCAGTAGGAGTTATCATCTCCCTGATAACCCATGGTTCTAAAACATATGGTCAATAAAATCCCTTTGTGTGTGTGTATGTGTAAGTATAAGGGTGTGAAGCCATGGGGTCCTGGACAAGTTCCAGTCTGGTTAATTAATTTCTTCCTCAAATAAAAATATACCTGGTTTTTCAAAGCCTACTAAACATTAAAAGAGTTAGCAAGTGAAGCAGACAGGAGTAATGTTCAAGGTTTTTGTTTAGAAGGACCTGAAAAAGATTGTGTTGTGTTGTTCCTCCATTTAATTTTCTAGATGCCTTTATGTTTGCAACTCCTCCAGAAATCCCCCTGCTCATCATCCAAAATATATATAAAATATTTTAAAGTTTGAAATTGTGCCATGTGTTGTACTTTTAAAGTCAAAGCTAAGCATACCTGGAAAATACAGTTCACTATAGAAGTATAACACGCTTTAGCAGTAGCTAAAATAAAGACAAACAGTACCTCAAATCATATTAGTTATCGTTGTGAAGAGCTAACAAATCAAAACAAAATGCTTTTGTTAAAAATACATATTTTGCGAAAAAAGTATCATCATTTTAACAGATGAATGACAGCCAAGAGTCACCTAGTGTTTGGATGGTTTAATGAGAATGTGAGTTGAAAAAAATTCTCATTTCACTTTTCTTTTATATTTTGCAGAATAGACAAACAAAAGGAAGCCCACTACAGCATTAACAGTTTCTTTGTGCACATTTTACTGCAATCTGGCATCCAAAAGGAAGAAACATTAGAAGTGGTTTATTTATATTTCAGCACCAAATTAGAAAGATGACATCATTCATTTACAGTTCTTATCCCATGACATGTCTAATCCCCAACACCTCATTACAGGGGACACTTTTAGGATTGCATATATCATCTTGTTTAACTTTTGCATTCTTTTAAGAAATACAGTTGAAAGGTAGGAAATTTAAGGCTGTTCATTGATAAGAAAATAAACTAATAAAATCTTAGGAGCTTCCCCAAAGAGGCAGGGTATTACAGTGTTTACAGTAAGTGAGTTATTATTTGTCTATTAATTCTCCATCTTTTTCACCCTTGTGTTCTGAAGGCCTTCCTCTGAATCTACAGGCAAGCAGACTATCTATAATTCAGATAGATTTGGCTTTTTGGTAGGATCAGTAGAAATTCATACCTAAGTAAAAACAGCTGTATGCTTCCATCTTCTTATTCCAGATGGAGAAAATGGAATGGTCCCAACTGTGCAGAAAGCAATGCTGAAACATGTGAAATGATACTCTCCAGTGCCAGGGCAGTATTATTCCAAGTAGTCAGCCACTTGCCCCTGGAGGGCATCTCTTCTATAACACACTGGGAAGATGCTCTTTGGGTGCTATACAGATTGCCAGAAAGAGTCTGATGGTGGCTAATGCATGTGCACATCCTATCTGTGCATGCCCATCTGTCTTGATATTGTAGATGCTTTAAGGATTTTTTATCTTTTTTTTTTCCTAAGTACAGCTGCCCTCCGGTAAAAACAGTTTTCTATCCTCCCCCTAATGGTCTTCTTGTGAATTGCTTGAGAAGCATTGTGACTTTTTAATTAATTGCTAATAAGACCCATAAGTATTTCCTGTGATTGTTGTGATTCATAGTTTTCCTCCATAAGATTTTGTTAAACTTCAAATATTTTTAGTATGAAAAATTAGTCTACTTTTTTTTTTACAAACCTCTTTTTTACTTTAGCAAAATTCATTAAAATCAGGGAATTTAATGATTTAATGGCAGTCTTAGATTTTAGATTTATCAGTAAAATGTATTTACCAGTAAAACTCTCCTAGCAGAGTTTTAAGTATAGGCTCGTTCTCATAGCAAAATCCATTTACAATAATCCAGGAAGTAAATTTACTGCATGCTAGATACTGGACACTAGGTATCTCATGGACATTATCTCATGTTAGGTATTTAACAGTTAGACCTGTTAGCATAAGAACGTATCCAAGCTAATGATTCCTCTTCAAATTGATCTGTTTAGATTGGTCCTATAGGACTCACTAGTTTGGGCAAAGTCCTGAGGTAATGTGTTAAGACAGTTTCTCCACTGGGGCTAGCTTGTGTCCTACCAGCTTGGAGAATGGGTAGAACTAAATGTTGGCGTTTTGCAATTGATTTAAGTCTCTTCCTGTTAGCATCCCAAAAACTGTCTATGTGCAAAGTAGACTTGTTTGTGCTTGACCTACTCAAATAGTGTCTACACAGAGAGTTGGCACAAAGTAGATCCTTTGGAGCAACCTTTCTGCTGTAGAAAAACTCAGACAAAGCTCAGATGAAGTTTTTGAAGATAGAATTAAATGGATTTAGGCTCCTATCTTTCCTCCAGAAATGATATTAATTATATATGTCTCCAATTGGTTCTTCAAATTTTGGAGGAGACCTTTGAGAGTTGACCACGTTTTCTTCTGGGGTTTGTCAGTGCAAAAATAAGTAAAAACTTAATTACATGGTAAGAAGTGTACCTCAGACAGCCTTCAGTGCTATGAACAGGAAAAATAAGTACTACATCCAACGGTATTGGGCAATTAGGCAGTAAGATATTTTTGGTGTTATGAGCAAGGTTTGGATTATTCCAGTCCATGTATTTCATGGTATGGAATAATTGTAATGGTGATAAAGGGCAGTGATGTATCTTGTTACCTGATAGTGACATAGATTTTATTATCTGTACAAGGCAGTAGCTGAAGTGCCGATCTTCTTGTTTTCAAGATCTCTATCTAAGACTTACTTTCATTTAGTAACATGTGTCAAGTCCCATACTCATTTATTTCTCTGAGTGCCTGGATCTGTATCATTTAGTTTTCAGATTCTTTTAGCTTACTGTTTAAGCCAGGAGATCTGAGCATACAGTTAAAGAAAAAAAAAAGAAAAAGCCAAAATGCAGATTTTAGAGCATTTGGAAGCTTTTAGTGTTGTTAACATGCCTCAGTAGCTAACTGCAAATATTTGCAGTATAATTTATATTCCTTTTAATGAGATTTTGCAAGTTAATTAGTAAGACATAATAATAGACTGGAAAAAATAGGAATCTGTGTTCTGAAACAATAAATTATGAAAAACTGAATTTCTTATTTGACACTCTTCAAACACAACATCCTTGATCATATCCTTTTCCGACTTTGTGCAATTCTATGCATGAAAATTGAGCTAGAAGATATGTTCACATACTTTGTTATCTTTTTCTATTTCTGTTTCCTTTTCTTTGTGAGCCAGCAGTCCTGACTCCTCTTGTTAGATCCTTGCAGCTACCAAATAAAGAGCTAAGAGTGAGCTAAGATCTTGCCAAAACACTGTAAGGTTAATATAGTCCAGCATGTAATTGAATTGTCTCACTTTCAAACTTAAACAGACACAAAACAGAATGAAACTGATGGCAGATAACTATGATGATGATCATCACCACTACCACCACCACCACCACCACCACCACCACCGATCTCCTGGGAGGCCTCAACACTCCAACCACAGACCCTCTCCAGACCAGGTCAGTCACCTCTTTTCTCACCTTCAGTCTTGTTCTTTTAGTATTCTGATATTTAAAGATAAAATAAATATTCCAAAATAATATCAAACAATATAAGGGATATATTGGTATTTATTTCCATCCCTTAAGGAATCTAAATCTTTAGGCTTTTTGCCTGCCATCTTACATTGTTCTTCCCTATATTTTTTTAAACTTTCGTAGCTATTTTCAGCATTTCATGATTCATCTTCTAAAACAGAAAATTATTGAAAAATCTCTAACATGGAGTGATTTCAGAAGTAGGCCGTTTTTGGAGTAATGTTTGTTTATTTAAATTTAAAGTAAACATTGATTAGTATTTAGAAACAGGAGCATTGCATTATTTGCCTTTGGCATCTTGCATACCTCTTGTTCTAAACTGTCTGTGAAAATATCTTTGTGTTGAAGCTATTAAATACAAGAGTATAGCTTAAAATCTGTAGTGGTAAATTTTTAACTAGGCAAGATAAATCAAATTCCAGAAAGAGAGTTTAAAATGGCTAATGATTTGCAATTCCTCTTCATAGAATACCCAATCTGAGACACCTGGAAGAGTCCTGTGTGTCAGATCTCTGTTATAATAATAATATGGTCCTTTAAAGTTTGTTACCTGAATATGCTAGTGTTAAATGTCTTCTCTCATCTCCTCCACCCTGTGAGGAAAAAATAGCCCTAAAACTAACCCTATTTTGATTTTATAAATATCAACTTTTTTCTTTTTTCTTTTTTCTTAAATATGTAAATCATTTGCTTTTATTGATTTTATTTTAAAATATTAATGATTTTTAAAGTAAAAAATAAAATACACAGTGATTAAAACAAGTTTACAGTCACACATTTTTAAATAGATATGTTTGGATTTAGGAGCTCATGCTGTTCTGTGGTTTGTTAGCATTCCAATACTCATGGAACATTTTAGTGTGGTCTTTCAGATAATCTTGCTGTCAATAAGCAGAAAAATTCTCAGTGTCCAGTGTGTATCCTCAGTAGTTCTGGCTAATAGCCGTCTGGGTAAACCAGACAACTCAACCAGTAATTGTATTGTTTTGATATGTTTGAAGTAGGTGTCTTTCCAAACAAAAATGATGGACTTCTAATTTTTGGACAATTTAAAGATCAGATCCACCAAAACTATAGAATCTGTTTTAATTATATGCATTGCAGTTATTGTATTGGAAATAATGGTACTATTACTAAGAATATAAAATTATACACCATTGTGTCTTTGTCTTTATGAGTATTTCTGATAAACAGCTTTAATACTGATCTGCTGTTACTAAAAGTATTAATAAATATTTGGGTTTTAAATTACCTATTTATGCTCATACATTTTAGCTTAAAGTAGTGTTTACGGGATGTATTTATACTGTGAGACTGTTAAGGACTACAGATCTCTGCCATTTGCAGAAAATTCCTTGTTCCCTCCTGTTTTCTGGCTCTCTTTTTTCACCATGTTTCTGTCCCCTATCAATAAACAGAAAAATGTCCTGGTGAAAATGGGGATGCTTTAGAAAATAGAGCTGGAAGACCAGAATGGCAACAACAAACAGCAGAAGTTTTCCAACTTTCTTTCTTCTTCATTGTGACATTCTAATGAGTTTTGAAATACATTGTATTTTTTTAAGAAAGCAACTTTACGAGCTGCTTGGTGAGTTTAGCTTTTGCCTTCTAGTTATTTGAGAGGGCTTGTTAACTATGATCACTTTGGTTTCCAAACAGGTTAAATTGATTTAGTTTTGTATTTGGTTCTTTCAAATAAGCAAATATCCTCTTGTTTCTAATTAAGTTGGATATTTCCCTTTTCTTGCAACTGCCAAATTGTGCTAGGTGGGCAAGTGACATGTTCAGAGAGTGCTTTTCTGAATCACAACGTATTTCCCAGTTACTTAAATACAGTTGCTATCCCCAGCATATCCCCACCATGGAAAAGCTGCTAGAGTTTCTGTGACTACATAGTCTTCTAGCTCAAATTCTGAATGTTTTCAGTTCCACACCAATCTTACAATTATGCTTGGGTAATATAGTCTACAAGAGATTTGACACTGATGATGTTGTTGGTTTATAGGTTGCATAATATGGCTGCAGGTAAAAACAGAAGTTGCATAGGTCATGTATACCCTAAAGTATACCTCTTTGTCCTTTAAAATTATTTAACATTGGAGATTGGTTTTTATTTCCACACTTTTTCTAAAGAATTATGTTTATTTATGAATATACACACATATGTACACACCAAAATGGTATCTCAAATTCTAGTAGCAGTCTGATCTCTTCCTTTAAATCTCCTTCTGCCTGAGACCATGTTTTTCAGAATCCTTTTTTGTTACAGTAAAAAATATGTGTATGTGTGCTTGTGTGCATGTGTATATGTATGTATATTTTAAATGCCTCAGCACAGAAAATACAATTAAAAGAAGCTAGTCCTAGTATAAGTGATATTTCAAGAAACAACTTCTATTTTGAAATTAAAAGTTTAAAAAAATTAAAAGTTTAAAAAAATTAAATCTATGCCAAGCTATGCTTTCAGTAGTGTACCTCAGCTGCTGCTAGGTGCCATTATTCCATTTCAATTTGTGAATTAATATGCTTAGTAAATGGATGGTAAGCTTGTCAGCTAGAGAGGAAGTCATTAGGAAGATGACTTTCAAATTTTAAAATTTATTTTCCTTTTGTGGATCTCTTTAGCCTCCTGCAGTGGATGAAGGTTGAAAACTGTAGGAGTTTAGGGAGGAAGTTAGTCAGGATAGGACAAGGAGGAAAGGCATTGTGGATTCATCTGGAGTAGGAAGAAGGGCTATAGAAGCAGGGAGCTCTTTCAGTGTTGAAACAGAAAGAATATGAATATTGCTGATAATGAGCTAAGCTGCAAGAAGCTGCAGGCACAGGGAAGCAGACAGACTGCTCCATAGATTGCTCTAGTCTCATTAACCAGAGAGATGGTCCAAAATCAGTAATCTGAAATTCAGTAAAGACAAGTCTGTTCAGAAGGGAGAAGTCACATGTGCTGACGAGGCAAGAGCATGGAAAAAGAGAACCTGGACTGCAAACAGCATATGGCTACAGTGCAATGCCATCATCATGAAGTAGATCTGATTCTGGGATGTAATACTGGATGACTGAAACAGGAAGTAATTATTCTAGACTTTTGGACACTGGTGAAACCTCATCTGAAAAGCTGCATACAGTTTTGAGCATCATGCTATAAGAAAGATAGAGAAATTGGAAAAGGACAAAAGGAGAGCAACAAGAATGATAGGAGTTTTAGAAAACATGACCTATGAGGCAGGCTTAAAGAACTGGCTTTGTTTAGTCTAGAAGGTACTAAGGGGGAGACATAAGTCTTCTAATACATAAAATGTTGTTATAAAGAAGACGATGATCAATTGTGCTCCAGTGCCCACTGGATAAAGACTAGGAGTGGTGTATTTAATTTATACCAAGAATAGCTAGGTTAGGTATTAAAAAAATAACTTTTTAACCATGAATGTAATGAATCTGTAAGTGGAAAGAAGCAGGGACATTCTTTTATACAGATGTAATAGAAGTTCCTTTCTTGAGGGTTTTTAAGAATAGGTTAGCTTTACTTAATCTTGTGTTGGTACTTTGAGTTTGAACTGGGTGTTATTTTGAAGTACTTCCCTCCCTAAATTTCACTGACTGTGTAAAAAATGGATTAACCTAGCAAATGTTTAATTGCAGAGCAAGCAAGTAGGAGATCCATAGGAAAATCCTTACTGAAATAATCTGAGAACAGCACAGTTAATGATAACCATAAGTGAACTCTAGTTATTGCTTGTGCTTACAATTTTCAGTTATGAATATTTTTTATTGTCCGTGCTGTGTTATTTGCCATTCTATACAACACACTTTCTATAGCAATTTGATTGGCATATGGTTTTATTATGCAAACCTGTATTTCCCATTCACAATACTATGTTACACACAAAATTCTAGATGTGTGGTTTTGGTGACCGTGTTCCAACACAGTGCCAGTGGTGTGAAACCACAGAATAAATTGAGAAAATAATAAACTTGTAAATCATCAAAGGTCATTTTAAATTACGTAGTAGGAAAAAAAAGTGTATATTGTAACATAAATGCCCTGTACTTTAGTTAATTTAATTTTCTTAGAAATTCTATTGAGAAAGATATTTGAACATTAATTTTGAAACATTTCTCATTTCTATTGCTTTTTTTTTCTAATTTATATTGCTACATTTAAGTAAAGAAATACATGCATGTTATTATATATTGTGGCTAAAATGTGCATATGTGTATTTGAGTACATATACGTAAGGAAGAATAAGACATTTCCCATTTAGTGTTGTAAAGCGTTGTATATACGCTTCTCTGTGTGTATAACCTCTTTAAAGAGGATAATGTACCACCAGTCCTTTGGAAGAAAAATATATACACATCTTATTGAGAATATGCATTATTTTTATGTGGTGCTGTTTGTTTGAGTATTGCCATTTTGTTTTAATAATCATGGTTTTCTGTTAAACTGGTACTTGATATCACATTCTGCTGTGGGCAGCATGTAGCAGCATAGGTCTAGAAGTAGCAAGGGATAGTATCTGTGACTTCTCTTGAAGGAATCCGTTGTGCATCTTTTTTTCAGATGTAATAGACGTAACTTGCTTTTTCTCTTTTCTGTGATTAAGTCTTCTAGCTGCTTGTAGGGAGCAAAGCCAAGTTTCCAGCCACTTCTTGCGTTTGTCCCCTCTCTTTTTGCCCCACTGTTTAGGCGAGAGCTATAGGTAGCCGGCCTTTTTGCCCCTGTATTTCTGGACCTCAGCTCTGGGGAAGATGTAGGAGACCTTCATAAGCAGTAGGAAGACCAGCTCTCCTCTGCCCATACCCATGGCCATATTACAGTGAGTCATGATGTGTTCCCTAGTTGTGTTGGTGCTTCTGATTTTTATTTGATATAAATAAATTTCTGAGGATTAAGTGCTGCCATGTTAACAAGATTGCAATAT